ATCGGGCAGTGTTTCGTTCTGCTGTGCATGGGGTCGCTATGAGTCGGAAACGACTCGACGGCACTTAACAACAACAACAACATTAATAAAAAGTAATTAGAGAGGAATAAAATGAAAGAATATTAATAAACCTGTTTCTTGCAACATATATAAATTACCATTACCTTTAGTAGGGAAGAACTTGAACTTATGCCCATTACTTTATATTGGAAATCCATGCTATTGTTGTTGTTATTTGGTATCTTTGAATTATTTTTTGCCTCAGAGAGACTGCATGTGACAGAGTAGAACTGCCCCATAGAGTTACCTAGGTTGTAATGTTCACGAGAACAGATTGTCAAGTCTTTCTCCCTTGGAGCTACTGAGAGGATTCAAACTGTCAACCTTTTGATTAGCAGCCAAATGCTTAATCACTGCACCACCAAGACTCCTTAAACCAATGCTAGTTATACTTAGAGTAATACAATAATTTGAATACACATACCTCCTTAGTATGTTATAAGATATTAATATTGTACATATACACAGATGGCATATAATAAAATAATTGTCATGGCACAAGCCTTCAATAAAGTAATTGTCATGGCACAAGCCTTCATTTGAAATTTGAACTTTTGTCAATTACCATCAACTAGAATTTTAAGGGTAGAAAACTGGTGGTGGGTAAGCCACTAGATACAAAAAAAAAAAGAGGGAGGAGGCAGCAGATAAAGGCAAACTTGGACTATTTGTAATTATGCTGAGGATTGATTTTGCCGTATAATCTTGTTTCCATGAAAATGCATTTTGAGATTTATTTTCTAGTATTCTAAACTTAATGATAAGTTTGTCAAATAAATAACTTTATTATTTTTTTTTTCTCAGAAACATGTTTGGCCCCTGAATTATATCATGGAAATTATTCCACAGTACAGAAAACATTCAAAGTGAGTGAAAAAGTTCAATATGAATGTGCCCCTGGCTACTATACAGCTGGGGGAAAGAAGATGGAGGAGGCAGAATGTCACACTTATGGATGGTCTCTCACACCAACATGTACCAGTAGGTTCTCATTTTGAATGCAAACTATTTTTACTTCCTCTCATATAGAAGTGTTGTCGTGTTCATTATGTTATAGTTTTTATATGTACTTTTTGCTTCTGGTTTTAATTACTGTTTATAGTAGCCTTTGATTCATTTAAGGTTCTCAAGTAGGAAAAATTCCTTCAGCTCACATTATTAAATTAGGTCACTTATATTTACTAAATATATATACCTAACAACAACAGCATACACATAATTGATTCATATGCTTTTCTAATATTGGAAATTTGATTAATTTCTATTCCAGATATAGCATATAAGTAATCAGTGAATTTTGTTCTAGCAGGAAAAATTAAGACATCTTGGTGTTTTTATTTATTTTTTCATCTTCAGAATTGAAGTGCTCTTCTTTAAGATTAGTAGAAAATGGTCACTTTCATCCTGTAAAGCAAACCTATGAAGAAGGAGATGTAGTTCAGTTTTTTTGTCATGAAAATTATTATCTAAGTGGATCTGATTTAATTCAGTGCTATAATTTTGGTTGGTACCCAGAATCTCCTGTATGTGAAGGTAATTATTTTATTTCACACTCATAAAACTAGTTCACTTTAATCTCTATTAGTGCTAATAAAAAGTGTCTTTAGTAATATCTAATTCTTGTCCTATATGCTATTTATTTGAATTAATAAATCAATGCTATTGTCAGCAATCTTGAATGTATTTCACTTGAAGAATTCTTGTTTTGTATTGGTTTGTGGAGTAAAAATATCTTTAACTTATTATGTTTTAAAATCTCTTATTATATTAATGAGTAGCTTTCCTCATTGGGAATGACTGAGCCCAATGTACTCTAACTTTGGAAGAAAACTTTCTCAAGTGACTACATATTTCCTGATGTGAAAATATAGTCTGCAATCTAGTGCAGTAGATATCAGAAAGAACAGCAGGCTATTACTCAGAAGTAAAAATGAAAAACAGGGTCATCCATTAAAAGCAGTTCAAACATGTAGTGTAGTTATCATTAAATTTCTATACCTGGATATGTGTAGGCAGGTGATTTGATTACCTGTCCAGAGACACTAATTCCATAGTCATTTACATACACGTAAATGTGATATGAAAGATGTCCTAGTCTGGCAGAGGAAACAAATATGAAAACAAATACTTGACACAATGTAACAAATGCCATAATAAAGTCAAGTACAAAATGTTTTAATAAACATTAGAGGTCTGCTTAATATGGTTTGGGGTAGCATTCACAGTGGTAATAGATGGTATTTGAACTGGGCCTTGAAAAATGAACAGGGGCTTGAGAGTTGAGAAGAATGGGGAAAATGAAAGGATTTGATAGCCTCTATTTTCTATAACATAAGAAACAAAGTCTTTATTGGCAGGCAAGAGCAAGAGCAAGAGCAAGAGCAAGAGGTGAAGTAAAAGTTAAAAAAGAGTGGTGAAGATATGAGATAGTTATTGGGAGGAATGAAAGGGGGAATTGGCCAGAGACGTGCAATAGGATTTCCCTTAGTTATCATGATCTTATAAATGTGTCGAACAATAATTGTAATGTTTTTCTGATTTTTTCAGTCATACTCAACAACTTTATTGCAAGAGGAAGATTTTTTGCAAGTTTTCTGTATTAAGGAAATCAATTTTCCACTAAAGCCCCCAAAGGAACACAGCCTTACTAACACTAACATTTGCTCAGTGAAACTGGCTTTAATTTTTTGGTCTCCAGAACTATATGAGAATGAATTTGTCTTGTTTTAAGCCATTAAACTGTAGTAATTCATCATAGCAGTAATATCAAACTATATGATATATTTTAGTATAAATAGTTAAGGATGTGAGATTTTAATTCAGATAGACACAGGTTCAAGAACAAATCTACCACTTACTAAAATCTTACTTATTTCTTTTTCTTTTCTTTTAATTGTGATTTGGGTGAAAAATAACAGAGAAAATTCACTTTTCATACAGCAGTTCACATACACTTTGTCTCATGACATTGACTACAATTTACCCCAATGCAACAGCTCCCCTCCCACTTCCCATATTTACCCCTTCCCTGTGTCCATGCCTCAGTGCACTCCTGCCCCCTGAGCTGTCTCCCTGTGCATAAACAGCCCTTCTTTCTACCATGATTGTTCTCTCCAAGGAGTGTATCTACCTCAGGTAAAAGTTCAACTCATATGCCTGTCTTTTGTTTGGCTGGAAGCCACAGGTGTGGGTTTCAATTCCAGACCTGAGGGGCCATTAGGGGCCATAGTCTTAGTGGTTCCAGCAGGCTCTATCAGACCAGCAAACCTGCACCCCCCTTTTTATTTTCCAAATGATTTTGAGTTTTGTTTCACATTGTTCTCCCTCTCTATCCAGGATCTCCTACATAGATCCCCCTCCGAGTGGTTGACAGTGGCAGCCGGGTATCATCTAGTTCTTCTGGTCTCATAGTCGTATAACTGCATGGTGTACCAGTTGCTAGGACTAATTCCTTCCATGATCTTTGGTTTTCTTCATTCTTCTTTGCTCAGGACAAGGAGAGACCCATCATTGCATCTAGATGGCTGCTTGAACTTATTTCTTAAATTTTAGTTTATTTATGTATAATATATGAGAAATAATAGTCCTTACTTGATAAAGTAATTCTAGAATTAAAGGAGATAATGAATACATAATGCTTACTGTTTTAATTTTCTAAAACATAACAGTGTTGCAACTAATTTAGCAGCTTAAAACAACATACTTATTATTTCACAATTTCTGTGGGTCAAGAGTCTGGACACAGATTAGCTGGGTCCTTTTTTTCAGGCTTTAACAAAAGTGCTGTGCAGCTGTCAGCTGGGGCTGCAGTTTTCTCTGAGGCTTGTCTGGGAAAGGAGCTGCTTCTAAGTGCACTGTCATTGTTGGCAGCATTCAGTTGTTTTCAGGATCAGAGACTCAGAACCTCTGTTTCTCGCTAAATGTCAGCTCCTTACCTTGTGTCTCTCTCCATTTGGCAGCTTACAATGTGGTAGTTTGTATGTTTACAGCTAGCACATGAGAGCTGTCTCAGTAAGACCAGGACTCTACTATAATCATGTGTGCATAATTCTATGCATAATACTGCAACACTGGCCTTGCTGTATTCTATTAGTTAGAAAGAAGTCACTCAAGGGAAGAGGTATAACACAAGGGAGTAAACAACATCAGGTGGGATCACGGAGTCCTGCCTAGAGACTGTCAAACATAATAACTATTGTGTTTGGCACATTGAAAGTGCTTTTTAAATTGTAACTATCATTGTTGTAGTTATATGATTGAAGATGCTATTTCTTTTTTTTTTCCTTAAGGAAGAAGAAATAGATGTCCTCCTCCACCTTTGCCTCTAAATTCCAAAATTCACACTTACCCAACAACATATCGTCATGGAGAGGTTGTTCATATAGAATGTAAACTTGATTTTGAGATTCAGGGTTCAGAAGAAATACGTTGTGAGAATGGAAAATGGACAGAACCTCCAACATGCATTGGTTAGAAACACCTTGTGTAAGATTTTCCTAAAACTAAATCTGTATGTGCAACTAAATGGTTTCTGTTCTTTAAATTGTACCTTTTCAGAAGTGAAAGAGAAGGTCATCTGTGAGGAACCACCCCTAATTGAGAATGGTGCAGCAAACTTACACTCTAAGATTTATTACAATGGAGATAAAGTGACGTATAGATGTGAAAATGGCTACCATATCCGTGGATCAAATGAGATAACGTGTAAACATGGAAAGTGGACACTTCCCCCTGAGTGTGTTGGTACAGATGCTACATTTTTTTTTTTTTTTAATTAGGATTTGGGTGAAGATTTACATAGTAAATTCACTTTTCATGCAGCAGTTCACATATACTTTGTCTCATGTCATTGACCAAAATTTACAATGCAGCAGCTCCCCTCCCACTTCCTCCCC